TATTGAGAAAATCATCTTTAAAGTTGTTCAAATGAAGTTCTTAGCAATGCATATTACTAATCAAAAATTAAGTTTTGATATATTTACGGTAGGAAATTTACAAAATATCTTCATGGAACATGATCTTTACTTAATATCCTAATGATTTTTGGCATAAAAGAGAAATGTATAATTGTGACCCATACAATGTATTGTGCTCCAGAGTCACATTTGTAGTTTTGGATTAACTATTTTTATATTTTCTGTTTTAATTTTAAACGGTTTGTAATTTAGTTAACCAATTTTGTTTAGTTTCTCTCAATATAGTACATTCATTTTTCAGTTCTAGTCTTAGTTTGGCAAAATAAATGTATGGTCTTTTAGAATATTTTATTGCAAGCAATGAAAATGTTTATGGGTTTAATGATATTTTTATTATCAGCTACAATAACAATCTTGGTTCTGTGTTCACCAACAAAATACCAGTAAATCTCTGAAAAACAATATACACATTATTGTGCATTTGGTTTTACTAATGATTCCATCTAGAGTTATTTTAGCATCAAGACACTATTTGAGTGCATTTTGAGTGGTTTTATTACTTCCGCTTTAATTTTAAAGTTTTTGCCAGTTTTATTATTATTATTATTATTTTTTTTTTAAATATGCCTATATAGTTTTAATTACTTTTTCAGTTTTGGTATTAGTTATTTTAGTACATCAAGTTAGACTAAAACAAGAAATGTTGCCTTTTTATTACTTCCGCTTTAATTTTAAAGTTTTTGCCAGTTTTATTATTTTTTTTATTTTTTTTTTAAATATGCCTATATAGTTTTAATTACTTTTTCAGTTTTGGTATTAGTTATTTTAGTACATCAAGTTAGACTAAAACAAGAAATGTTGCCTTGGCAAATACATTTGTTAATTTTCTTTTTACTTTACACTTTTAATTAAGTTTAATAACCCTGGACCCATTCAATTGACCCACACCAAAAGCCATCACAACACTGACCACGGGCTTGTTTTGCACGAGTGTGCTGCATTGAGCTTCCAGTGCAAACGTGCAGCGGTTGAGTGTAAAGCCTCACCTTTGCTCTGCGGCGGCCAGGAGAGCGCCAGCAGCTCGGATTTGCACCCTACAGAAGCGTGACGAGAGGGAGAGAGGGGCGAGAGAGAGGAGGAAGAGGAGAGGGGCGACGACCACCCCTCCGACAGAGCACTCTCCTCATCTTCGTCCAGAAGGGGCCCAAAGGGGTCAGCCATCAGAGATGAGGGCCCCAGGATCAGGGCCCCCACGTCCTCCAGACTCATCTGAGACACCACAGACATGGCAGAGGGTCAGAGGCGAAGCGGAGCGGGTCAGGGGTTCTGGTGAGCTGGTGAACGGTGTGGTTATGCTGTCTACAGCAGCAGAGCTGTGGGTGGATGCCACGAGGGACCTGAAAGAAAGCAGGCGAGACGACGTTACAGAAACTGAGCGAGACGCTCACACCTGACCAAAGAACCAAAGCGGAAACGAGACTTTTCAAGTGACCGCAACTGATGTTTTGAATTGAAAACTAACTGGGGCTGGAAATTCTGTTTCATCAACACTAATATCAGCAGTATACTTATTTAACCCCCCCTCTCTTATGTATTTGGTGTATTTTGAGTATTTGTATCTGTGTGTTAAGTGTTGTATAAGTGAAGCACCACGAAAGTCTGAATTAATTGCCCCAAGGGGATTAATAAAGCTCTAAACTAAACCATTTTAAAAAATGGACCGTATTAATTGGGAAATGCATTCACAGGGTTCATTTACTTCACAAATCACACTCCTACGCATGTACTATTATAGTGTTATGAAAATCACACTTTTTTTTTTTTTGAAAAAAAAGGGA